CATGCCCCCTCCTCCCACCCCGACCCTGACAGACTCACCCTAAACCCTCACCTCTGCACTCAACACGTATATCTCACCCGCTCATCTCGTCTTCCAGACAATTCCTGGGAGGATTGGTCCATGGTGAGTCTGACAGACGGGACGACATGTTCTGGGAGCTGACGGCGCTCCACGGGGGGAGAGTGTTTTCTCCAAAGGCCTCGGGGGAGTTTAGTCAATAGTGGCTGTAAACAGCGTCAGTCCGAGAGACAACTAACCCTTGATCCAACATCACTCAGATGTGAAATCTGTCACAGACTTGATGATGATAAATGGAATTTACTCAGGGAAGGTTTTCTTTTTTTACTTTTAAGACGCCGCCTCGGAGACGTTGTTGATTTGTTTCCATCAAAGTTTTACTCACATAATGAGAAAAATCGACCGCGAGGCCTTTGATTGTACAACTGCAAATAAAAAAAAACAAAGGTATGAGCCTTGAAGTCGTTGAGAAACGAGACTAAATACCTCTTAAATCCAGTGCAGGTGCTGGGAGCACGTTCACCTCAGTGGGGCAATATTTAAACAGGAGATAAACTTGGCTTTGTGTGAATGTCTCTGGAAAAAAACCCACTCTTATTTGCCTTTTTTTTTTTTCAAAGTCTAAAAGAGACTAAATTGATGTTGGTGCCAAATGTGGAGCCTGAACCATCGCTCCATTAGCTGATGGTTTGGCATGAAACCAGGGAACAAAACAAGCTGCTCACAGGCACGTGGTGTTAGAAAACAACATATTACGCCTGAAGTCTGTTTCTACCATCTTTATTTATTCATAACTAATTAATGATGTCGTTAATCCAGTTAATTTGAATTTAAGAAGGTGAACGGGCTGAGAAGAAACAGAGGAAAAAAAATACGATAATCATCAAATCAATGCAAATCTAGTATCAAAAAACTACATATAAAAAGAAAAAAATTACGTTTTTTTTGTATTTTTTTGTAATTCATATTAAAAAAAAAAAAGAAGAATAAAATGGAGTATTGGGAACTGCAGCCTGATTGTTCCTGGACAGTCCCAGTGCTTCTGTCAAACTCCTGGTTCCTGTAAAGAGGTTCTGGGAACTGATTCTCGTTAGCTGAAAATTCCGACGGCAGAAAAGTCCAACAGTATCTTCTGTCCATCTGTTCATGTCGACTTCATCAGGACTGAATAAATCGAGGGTGGGTTCTGAACAGGACCAGATCCTGTGGGTCACATATGGTTTGGCACCAACACTAACTGACATGTGGGCCGTCTGGCTGCAAACGGAACTCCAAGATGGTTCTGCCCAAATCGTACCGGCAGCAACCGACACAAAACACAAATGACACCGAGGAGTTCCTGCGTGATTTATTTATCATCTGACCCAGTCTGGTGGAGGCGCCATCTGTCAGAACGAGCCCTCAGTTAATATCCTGGTCCGTCTTCAACAGTGTGTGAACCCCTCGAAAACAAAGTGTCCGCCCAGGACTTAGATCATGAAATCTGCATTCACTGCCACTTTGATTGAGTTATTATTTGATCCAACGGCGTTGGTCCGATCTCTAAATCTGTAACATATTTCTCCCGCTGCTTGGCAGGAAACCAGATAAGTATCTCAGTTCCTTTTGTCAGGACCATAAAAACGGAGCCGACCAGATGGGTTCAAACCCAGCTGTGAAGGTCTTCATCCATCAAATTTAACAGAAGATCCGCCGAAGAAATCGATTAATTTTTTTGTGCTAGCGCGTCTATTTTCATTCAACTTTGCTCCCACCTGCTGGAGAGGCTGACTTTAAACCACATATTCATTCTGTTAATGGAAAAACATTCATGTTTAAGGTTTTTTAATCAATATTTTTTTTTTCGTCTTGACAGTTCAGCTCTGTTCCTCCACTTCTCTGTTATGGTTTTCATGTTGATGTTGTTCCTTTTTCTTGCAGACATGTCTTACCTCATCATCCAACCGGTGTTTCTCAGACTATCACCTGCTCCAGGAGACGTGACACACTGCCTGGGGAAGAGATTTACCGGGTCTACATTTCAGTCGCTGTGATTTCATGTTGGCTGGGAACGGCGAGCAGACGGTGAGCGCAGCGGCGAGTTTCTGATGAGAATATTTAGAGTTGGAGCAGCGTCAGGAGATGTCAGACGGAGGCTTCATCTCTGTCATCCTGTCACTGACATAAAATATCCTCCTGAATTGGACTGAAGAAGATCGATTAATCATAAATGTGTTCTTCTGTTACAACAACAACAAAAAAAGAATAATTCAGCGTATCCTTTTCCTTCCACCGTGTTACCTCAGAACTTTTAAACTGAATTTCACTTAAATGTAAATTTATTAGCCTTTTTCCTCTAGCTGTAATATCAAACCTTCTAACTTTTATTTTCTGTTTTTATTTTCTAGGCGGTCATGAAGCTAACGCTAGACATGTTGACGAGGCCGGGAAGAAACCAGGGTCTTTAGGTAAAGTTTCTTTTCCATTACGCTAGACATGTTGACGACATGACATGTTGAAGAAACCACGGTCTTTAGGTAAAGTTTCTTTTCCATTGTTTTTTTTTTTTTTCAAGACAAATTTACTGAGTTTAAAAGTGTTTATTTTTGGACGGGGTAAAAGGTTTTTGACATGAGCCGCGAAGTTTGTTTGCTATTGATTAGCTATTGAGTCAGAAACACCCTGGAGGCGTTGGGTAAAGAACAGAAGAGACAGACAAAAGCTGCTAAAGCTGTTGATTTATGCCATCGTTTGCTTAGCTCTGCATGTGTGTGTGTGTGAGTGTGTGTGTGTGTGTGTGTGTGTGAGTGTGTGGATACAGAGCTGTTGTTGACCAATGAGACCACCCACAGCCCGGTGTCATCACATTAGCTGCTCTCAGAGGATTAACTCCAGCTCCCTGTGGTGTTGAGGACGAGACAGAAAATAAAGATTAAGATACAGAGATACAGAGATACAAAGATACAAAGATACAGAGCTGTCTGTCTGGTTCAATTTGTATATATATTCAGGTTTTTTTAATAATAATAATAATAATAATCAACATATTCAGGTTTTTTAAATAATAATAATAATGTTCCCTCTCATTATAACCATCAAAAATATTTTAAATTTTTTGAGCAATTATAATTCATCTATAATTTAACACTGTTTGTTTAAAATTCTCTTTTTAAAAATGTCACAAATTTGACCCCAAGAAAAAAAATTGCTTGATGTGATTATGCCAATATATATATATATATGTATATTCCTTGATGTGATTATGCCAAAATTAAAAAATATATATATATATGTATACAGACACTGTTGCCAATCATAAGGTGAATTCTCCTCATTAAAGCATCACTGGTCAGACAGCTGGATCTTCCAGTCAAAGAAAATATTCAAAGCTCTTAAATCAAAGTGTTTCAAATCAGCAGATTATTGGATTGGACCCAGGTCTGCCTTCATCTCTGATGTCACTGTCTCTGCTAACCCATAATTACGAACGTGAGTGATGTCGATGTCGAGAGCGTGTTTTGAGAAGTTCTCCAGGTTCACGTGGGGTTAGGCACCGACGCGTGTTGGAACTGAACACAGAGGCTGTAATTATACAACAGAATAATGTCGAGGTGCGGAACACCACGTACAGAAGAGGGGAGAATTCTCATGCAATACCTGCGGCAGCCAGTAGGGAACGAGAAACAACTGTGATACATTTACATTTGTATGTCACATTAGAGTGTTTGGTCCATCAAAGAAACTTTATAAATATAAATAATCTCATTGGCCAACGAGGAATCAGTGCTTAAATCTAGAGACGCTCAGTTCAGGCGTGACACTTCGTCAACATCAGGGCAGGGATCATCAGCCTCCGGGGGTCTGTCTGTGTGTGTGTGTGTGTGTGTGTGTCGCACAAACAATGACACACATGTTGGTTCTATCAGGTGTGGAGATGTGCAGTGACAGCAGTCGTCAGCCTCGCAGGTCCTGTACTTTTTTTTTACTTCACAGTATTTGTCAGCAGTTAAATGTATTTTTATTTAACTTTTTGCTCCAGATAGAAACGTCTCCTTCCACATGTAAAACCTGAACCGGTTTCCACCAGAGCGTTTTCCTCCAACTCACCGTGATGATTTACTGTTGGTGAACATGGTAAAATTTTTATGTGCAGATGTTTTTGTGATTGTTTCAGAAGCACAAAAAAAAAAAAACAACGAAAAAAAACCAAACCCTAAGAACCTCCTGAGCCTCGGCTGAAGAACCGTTTCTGTGATATGAAACTTCTTCATAGGTTCATAAATAACCAGATCTGTCGAGAAACAGATTTTATTCTTGGGCTTTTTAAGAAAAAAAAAAAATTACAACAAATACTAGAGATGTACTGATACCAGTACTAGTATCAATACTGGGCCCAATACTTTGTGTACAGATCCAGTGACCCAGTACTCTGTAGTACTGCAGTTCAGTGTCTCAGTGTATTTTTTATTGACGTGGGTCAACAATGAGCCTCAGCTCAGAATAACACTGATGTCTCTGCTCAGTCTAACGCCCTAGTGGACAGATGAGGTGTTTACACCAACATGCTACACATTTTAAATCAGCGGAGGTGAAAAAGCTCTGCTCACTTTCTGTCCATTTAACTACAGAGAAAGTTTAAAGACATTTATCTTTAGTTTTTAGTTTTTTGATAGATCGTCTAATGTGACGAAGGTGTTAGTTTGAAGATTTTGTTCAATACGGAAATTTTTTTTTTCGCTCACTTTGTATTGATATGACCCAACGGGAAAAGTAATAACTTTTTGCAAAAGTTTTCAATTTTTCCAAATTGTAAATTGACTTTGTGTGTGTGTGTGTGTGTGTGTGTGTGTGTGCTCACTTTCCCCCCAGTGTGAAAACACACTCTCACACTGTCGTTGGTCTTAATGTTTGCTTTGACAAACTCAGTCTAACGACCAGTAAATGAACTTTTCTTTTTGGAGGTAAACAGTTTATTTTTCACAGTGAAGCTGAAAAATAACACGAGTAAAAAAAAAAAAAATCTGTTTTCAGGCCAAATTAGACACTTCCTCTTCTCCTCCTTCTCCTTCTCCTCAGTCGTGTCGTTGTTGTTGTTGTTGTTGTTTGTTTGCAGTGCAGTCAGTCGTCGTCAGAGTCGTCGCTGCTGTTACTGCTGCTGCTGCTGCTGCTGCTGCTGCTGCTGCTGCTGCCCCCTCAGCACTAATTATTTTTATGATTTGCATTTCAAATTCTATTCCCTCTCGTTAGCCACAGATGAGTTTCTCTCCTTCGTTCACTTTCACTCTGTAAATAAGTTTGTGTTTATCTCAGGGCGGCAGCGTAACGACATGCTAATGAGCTCGGCACAGGGACAGAACCAGAGTAAACAGATCCTGTCTGTAGATACAGTCAGAGGAGACATTCAGGGAGGACTCAAATTAAAATAAGATTTCAGTTTGGATAGAGACAATCCTAATAAAGCGATTTGGAATAATGACCAAGTGTAATCGCACATTTCATCTCCTGGAGGGTTGCCAGGTTTGATGACAGGAATTTAATTATGATCGTCATTTGTCGATGGGCGCTCGGAGGGAAATTAATTCGTACACTTTAGTGAATTTAATTTCAGGTCTCGCTGCTTATTTGTGTTTTTTTTTTAGTTTGGTGTTTCTGTCTAAATCCTGTCTAAACGCCCCTGGTGGTTGTGTTCCGCTATGACATCTCTTTAAATGATGCCATTTTGGTCGGAGTTCAGTGAAGAAGGACCTAGGAGTCACTGTTGATCAGAAATGTACTTTTGAAATGCAAATTTAAATATATATATATATAATTTTCATTTTGTGAATTTATGCTGCAGAACGCTACTTTATTTAATTGCATTTTCTGCATGAAATACTTATTGTTTATGGATGGATGGAAGTCTATTTACATCTGATTGTGATCTTTTCTGCTTCACTTTGCTCTGAATGGAAGGAGAAAAATAACAACAGCAAACGAAGAACGAATGTAAAACAACTGTGATTTATTTCTATGACTTCCTCAAACGCCCAATGATCCACTTCAAAGCACCTGCATCCAGCTGTGATGGACGTAATGTCCTGCACGTGTCCCAGCACTGAACACACACACACACACACGCCGGAGCACAGCTGGCCTCAGAGTCGGACAGGAACTCACACTGTAATAACTGGCTGTAATTGAAAAGAAATTGGAGCGGCTCCAGCCGAGGCCCGGCTCTGGTTGGATGATGGACATCAGCGATGGCCCACTTTGCTCCGTCGTCTGGAGCAGCAGCAGCAGCAGCAGCAGCAGCAGGATGATGATGATGATGATGACGTCTGCTGTTTTTAATAAACGGCAGCTGAGGCGAGGATGTCGCTGGTTCTTCAGATAAACTTCACCCTCAGCCCTGGTGCAGACCCAGAACTTCAAGGAACAGTATGTGTGCAGCCGGGATCCAAACCCCCACCTCCACTGGATCAAAACCTCACTCTCTTCCTTCTCCTCGGAACACCACCGGCCTCCGGGTGAATCGGTTTGAGGCTTTGGCCGTATGTTTATCCAATCAGATTCCCTCCTGCCATGACCGCAGAGCTTGGGCTTCCTCTTAGTGACCACTTCATTTTTTCCGTGGGGCCTCGCTGCTCAGAGCTGCCGCTGCCGTGGCCGCGGTCCCAGAGTCAGGGCTGAGGGTGGATCCTCCTCTGAACGTGAGAGACCAATTTGTGAAAGGCAACCCTGTGATTACGGGGCATCTGGGCAGGTAGTTACTGAGGGCAGTCGCCGTGTTGAACCTGGTAACGCGGTGGTGCGGGTTCTTGTGGGACGTTCTTCTTCTGTTTACACTGAGGGTCAAAGGTTTGAGGTTTGTTTTATTTACTCGCTGTGTTCCTTGGCTTCCTTTAAGGGCCTGGAGTCACGGTTGACAGGAAAGAAGACAAAAGTGAAGCCAGAACAGGAATTATTTTCAACTCTTTCAACAACAACCGTTGTGTAGAGTTTGGACGTTCTCCGGGCGTTTCTGTGGTTCTCGCTCGCCTTTAAAGTCCAGACTCATCCATAGCTGTGGCTGGAGTTCAGTGGATTTTCAAAGTCGACCACAGGTGTGAATTAGAGTGTGAATGGAATGTTTGTCTTTGTGGAGTCGATGTGACATTTGAGTAAAGCTAGCATCCTAGCATGGAGGTGGCTAACGGCATCTGCATGTGAGCAGCAGCGCTCTCTTGTGGTCTGGATTGGTATATAAAAATGACTGGAGTGCAGTACCAGTGATGGCCAGAAGGCTGTTTAAACATGACATACTTGGTCAAGAATCTGGTCAGGGATCATTGTGACCAGTGGTCAGCAGTCAGAGGGTTTGGACCTCTGGAGTCCAGACCGTTTCCAGCAGTCGTCCACAACGCCAGGACCCAAATGCATGCAGCGTGTTCTGGACGTTCTCCAGGACTGACCCTGCCAGCTCTGTGGTCAACATTCACAGACAATGTTCAAGTGAGAACATGGAAGGACACGTTCCAAGTCTTCTACCTCCTGCCTCCTGCCTCCTGCCTCCTGCCTCCTGCCTCC